AAACTTATTTAACTATGGAAAATTACTGCAAACATAGCTTAAGAACTTCTGGCCTCGAGTATAGATCAGCAGGGCTGGGGAGACAACTCAAGAGTTAAGAGCGCTCGCTGCTCTTGCAGAGATCCATTCCCAGCAGCCACATTTGGTGGCTCATGACTACCTATAACATCAGTGCCAGGAGATCCAGCACCCTCTTCTGGCCTCCGCGGGGCATTTGCATGCATGTATGCATACACACGCATGCATACACACACACAAATCAAATAATAACATAATGGATTCTGGATTTTTATACATAACCAGAGGTTTCTTGCCTTTGAAAATAAACAAAATTTACAACGGGCAGAATTTGTTTAGTGATCCAATATGTGTAGGAGACGGCCCTGTAAAAACGTGCATCAGGGAATACACTGGGTATTTAGAGCTTTTTTAAAATAAAGCTTCCCTTGGACTTCTTTGCAAACAACTTAACAATAAAACCAGCCAAAGAAACCAGTCAATAGAAGGACCAGGTAGATTGCATGGCATCTTTGCTTCACTGAACCAACACTGCCTCTGTGTTTGGATCTAAAGCATCAGAATGCGGTCTTGTAAGTATGATGTTTCAGAGACAATATCTGGAATGAAAAACTATTAGAATGCTCAATGAAGATGGCCAAGTGTGTTTTAAACCATGTATTTTTGTAACTCAATTTAGAGTGGCAGGGAAAACATCATGAACTAGCTAAAGAGAACAAAGGGACCTGGATATTGGGATGAATGAGAAATCAAAAACTCACTGAGGTTAGCACCGCTTTGTTTGGTCCAAGCTGACCGACATAGTGAACTCTGGCATGCCAGCGTCATCCTCCCTGGAAGGCAGATTTTGTTACACTTCCCACGAAATCTTCCGACATCACCTAAGCTGTTCCTTTACAGCTATCAGTCTCTGATAAAGTTTATTTTAAAATAATATTATTTACAACTATTGTGCTATTTCACTTTTTTTTTCCACATAAAAAGGTTCTTCTCCTACCCTGGATGCCAAGGTTACAGGTTGAGTGCCTCTAATTTGTAAATCTAAAAGCTGAAAATGCCTCCAAACACAAACTGGTGTTTAGCTTGTGCAAATTCCTGCCTAACCTCAGGTGAGCTTCCATCACCGAATGGTACTTAAAAAAAAAAAAATCTGTATAAGATGACCCCCCAGCTCTTTAAATAAAATGTATATGAAATAACTTATGGATTTAAATTTGGATCCCATCCTAAGATATCTTACTATGTACATGTAAATACTCCGAGTATTTCAGAGGAAGGCTATTCCAAGCCCACACAGTGTCGTGCACACTGCAGGGTCCTTCAGCTTATGCAGGTGGGAAATGCACATTAATTTTCCTGCTGACCACGTAATTTGTGTCTGGACATTAGCTCTGGTTATCAAACAACAGATGATGGGGGACTACCTCTTACTTTATGCAAACAGAAATTAATCACTTGTAAACATTTTACACTATTTTTTTTCCAAATACTTTTGAGAACACCATTGAAGCTCTTTGCTTGCTCATCCTTGTGGGTGGCAGGGAGAGGCATGAGACCTGTGTAGTCTTGAGAGTAAGTAGCCCTGCCAGTTTTGGAGCCTCCTGTCCTCTGGCTACTTCACTGTGGCTCAATTTATTCTTAAAATTTTCTGAACTTTATTGAGCAAGACTTACAAATAAATAAAAGCACAACAAACACACATACACACCCCTTTAGAAAAAATCAGACGTGATAGTGTACACCTTTCATGCCAGTGCCTGGGAGGAAGAGGCAGGAGGATCTCTTTGAGTTTGAGGCCAGCCTGGCTTACAAAGTGAGTTCCAGGACAGGTAGAACTACAGTGAAATCCTGTCTCTAAATAAATAAATAATAAAAATACAACACACCAAAATTAACCCTCAAAAAGAGCCCCCAAAGTCTTCTTTACAGTTCCAATGGACACTGGAGCAGAAGCCGTGACATTCCACTTTAAGCTTTGTACTGCAGTTTCGAATATATCATGCACACTTATCTACCTACCACCAAAGCCAAAAGGACTCGCGACACAATTAGAATGAGGAAAACTGAATGCAGGCAAAGGATCAGAGGTTCAAAGTCATCTTTGGCTACATGGCAAGTTAGAGGGCAGCCTGGGCTACATAGGACTCTATCTCAAAACCCCAAATGTTAATTAATTTAAAAGTAATTTTAAGGACGCTTTGAGACAAGATCAGGATGTACATGTGTCGGGTAAAAAGGAAAAGAAAATCTTTGCTTGGCAGCACACACATGGGAGAAAGCTTGTGAAACTGATCCGTGATTCACAGAATCAAGAGTTTGAGACTCTTGGAGCTCTTGGGAACTGCTGAAAATTACAAAGCAAGTATAACCGTAGTTTTTCCAAACATCCTCACACCTCCTCTGTGTTGCAAGTTCTTCTGTCAGCCTGGCTTGAATAAAGAAATAGAGCAAGTGCTGATATCAGATATTTGGCTTGGACTATTATTTCTTTCTTCATGGATTTTGGAGGTCGTGAATATCTAAAAAATTCATTTGGTAAAATGACAATGAATTTTAGCCAGCTGTTAAAACTACTTGAAAACTATTTGCTCTTGAGTGTATAAGCTGATGACTTGTGCCTAAGAGATATTTATTTATGGGCTTTTCTTCATCAGTAGAAATGGTTACTATCATAGAATATGAATGGAAACATTCATAACTGAATGCCCAACTCTGGGAGTAGGAGGTTTAGTCTTCTGCTCTCCTGTGTTTTGAAGGTCATAGCAATTCTGGTCCAGGAGAATTTAAGGAGATAGTAAATGAAGAAGTAAATATTATCTTGTTAAAGAAAAACAAAGTTAAGGAATAATAATTAGTGTTCTTCTATCAGATGACAACTGAATATTAAAATCTACCATTCTTCTGCTCAACTTTTCCAGGCCTTTTGCTTGCCTGGCTATTGACTGGACAAAATGATACTGATTCATTATTCTGGAAAAATTGCACTAAAAATCAGACAGTATGTGGCCTTCCAAACATTTTCTTATATTTCTCATGGTTTTTTTGGTAATTTTCTTTTAAGCAGATATAAAAATTTCAGCCATAGTGTCTACTCACAATTTCCATTAATGAACAGACTTGCCATTTCAGCTGTACATGGAGCTTGGCATGGATCTGAAGGTTCCTTTTGGTCTTCATGGATAGAGCATGTGCTTTTCCTCATGGACAGCTAAGGCTGTGTGACATCCACATATAGCACTAAGCTCTTTGCCCAGCCAGGGTGGTTAATTGCTTGGATACTTTGTGGAAAAATTTGGCTACAGGTCAACTATGTCCAGACTACAGTTATGAGTTTGAGTACAGAAGTGATACATGAAGGAAAAAATGTCTGAGAACTATAGTTTTTTAAACTTTCAAAATTGAATGTCATTTTTAAAAAGAATAACTGGAGAGCTCGGCATGGTGGCACATGCCATAAATCCGTTGTCACTTGGGAGGCCGAGACAGGGAAAGAATTGAGAAATGACTGCTGAAAATGGTGGCATTTGTCTGTTTATTACAGTCATTATTGCTGTTCTGATCTTAACTGCAGAGTAGGCACCTCCCAGAGTCAGTTTTCCAGTCCCCACAGAACGCTGGGAAACTAGGGGGACCCAGCTGAGGGCTGCAAGGCTGTCTTCCCGGCCTTGTCCTTGGGCAGGCAACCCTGAGGTGTAAAGACAATTTCTCCTGACAATGCTGGGCATCTGTCGCGTTCCTCCAACTAAGTGGAAGACTTGAAAAGGAAAGCTGACTTACAGCACATCTCCGCGAGTGGTCTCCTTCCTGCTAAGCAGCGTGAGCACGATATTATAAAGAACTCTTTCCTCACAAGCTTATCTTCCGGCTTTGTGTGTGTTGGGGGAGGGGCAATCGATAAACACAAACCCAGCATAATTAATCCATGTGGCATGTTATCATGCCGGAGGGTGATAAGTACTACTGAGAAAAATAATACAGAAGCAGAGAGTGAGAAGTCAAGGAGTGGAAGAGGCCAAGAGGAAGATGTTAAGAGGAAGATGTCAGGAGGATTTTGCTAGAATGTTCTAAGGATGGTCTGAGAACCACAGGAAGTCATGGGAGTAGGGGAGTCACATGACAACATGTTAAAAGCATTCTCTTTCAGTAGCCCTGGGAGAGGCTCCATCAAAGGGGGCCTGAAAGATAACTCTGCTAACAGGTGTCTCAAAGTTTGCACAAGCAGCTACTGAAAGGAGAAAGATTTGAACCCTGGTGGAATGAGGGTTTGGGGGAAAAGATGGGTTAGGACGCGACCGCTTAAAATACTCTGGTCCTTCTGCTCCAGCCTTAGGTCCCCCTCCCGCGAGAGTAAGGGCCCAGACAGACTGTTTGCTTTGGGACCGCAGGACCTCTCCACCAGCTACAGTTGTAGGCACCGGGACCTGCTTCCCTCCCAAGAGGAGCCTCAGGTCCAGCTCAGAGCCTACTCATCAGTATTCCGCCCGCGGAGTCTCTCCCCGCCTCCTCCGTGCATCCGGCTTCTGCCTTCCTCCCTGAGACATTCCCCTGAGGTCCCAGCAATCCCATCGCCCCGCCTGCCTCTTGTCCCGGGTCCTCAATCCACCCTGCACTGGCTCTTGCCCAGAGGCCTTTGCCACCCGCGCGCCTCTGCCAAGCCACGTAGGCTTTGCCCTAAGGTGGTGGCGGCCATAGTCTGCAGATTGAAGAGGGGGTGCCTTGCGCCCAGCTCACAGGCACAGTGCCTGGGGTGGGAAACCCACGCTAAGACATCCCTGCAACAGCTCCCTGGAGACATTCAACTTCCGTGCATCACATTAAATGTCCCCCGAGCCTCCTGCAATGCACCAGATCGCAAGGCAGACTCCAAAGGCACCTGCACTGCGCCCCCACTGGGATGCGCTGTGACCCAAAGAGGGACCGAGTACTGCAAACCTGGAGAACCCAGGGCGCGGGAATTCATGGGTGGGATGCATAGGACTCACCTTGTGCAATTTCCACATGGCCCCCAAAGCCTTGACTTCGTGGCTGGAGTGTTTGCCCTCCTCCAGGCACTGGTAGCACACGGGCATCTTGCACTGCACGCAGTACATGCTGTGATTCTCCAGCTCATGGTCTGTGCAGGTGGAGACCTTGCGCGGGCTCAGGCGCCGGCTTACCCGGCCTTGGGCTGGGGGCACCAAACGGTGTTTGGCTAGGGGCCCCCGCGGTGGGTGGCAGCGCAGGCGGCAAGGGTCGCAGTAGAAGACATCGCACTGTTCGCACATGACCGTGGCTTCCTTGGGCGCCTTCTCACAGAGCTGGCACTTGAGGGCCGCGGCTTTGCTCTGTTGGTAGCGGTCAATGACCCCTTCCAGGACGCGGTTCTTGGGGAAGCCACGGAGTCCCCGGTCATCCAAGATGAGGCTGCGGTGACACTGGGGACAGGTGATGCAGGAGTTGCGGGGCACAGGGGCCAAAGCCGGTGACAGGTGGGTGGGCGGTGGCGGCATAGCAGGGGGAAAAACGCGGACGCCGTTGGGTGACTTCTGGCACGGGGTAGTGGGGGCGCTGGCGAAACCTCCGTAGGAGCCATAGCCGCTGTCCGCCTCGCTGTACAGGCTCATCTTGTCCAGGTCCAGATAGTCATAGTCGGAGACCCCAGAGCCCGAGGCCCGACGGCTCTGAGGGGATTCGGACTCCGGGGTCTGCACCAGGATATTGCGGGCGCACGCCTGACATAAATTGTGAGAGCAAGGCAGGATGATGGGCTCCCGATAGAAGGAGCCGCACACAGGGCATTTTAACTCTTCTTCCATCTCTTCCATGGGGACCTGGCTGGAAGCGAGGCAGCAGCGGCTGCAGCAGAAGGGGCCTGACCGGGCGAAGCGGCCGACGGGCCTACGGTGTCCAGCACCTTGGCCAGCGGCGGCGGTGGTGGCGCTTTCCCGCGTCGCCTCTGCGCCGACTCCCCGCGACGCGCTCGCTCTGCGAGCCGCTGAGCCTCCGCGCTGCGCGCCAGCCCGGGCCCGCCCCCTCCGCGGCTAGCCCCGCCCTGCCAGGGAGCCGAGGCTCAGCGGAGGGCGCCCGTGAGAGCGCCGTTCTCATTGGCCTCCCGCCCTGTCTGTCTCCTCTCCACTGCAGGCCACAGGGGGCTCAGTGGAGTCTGAGCTGGAGCCCCGGCTTCGCCTGAAGGCTGCTGTGGGATCTCGGGAGGGGGTTGGCGCGCGAGCCGAGAGGGAGGAGTGGGGCTGGATGATTCATTTCTCGCCCCGTTTCCTTCCGAGCTCGGGTGCCGTCACCCCGGAGCAGGGGGCGTGAGAACCCCTCCCGGTCGCGAGTGGGTTGCTGCTGCCTGTCGCCTGCGCTTGGCGCTTGTTGCCTTCCAGCTCTGGTCTGTGCGCCCACCCACCCTCCGCTAGCGCAGCGCACCGCGGAGGATGCTCCTTCTCCTTCCGCTGCTGGCAGCGAGCAGGCACCTCCCCCGGGCCTTCCTGGAGGCATTTGGGCTTTTCTCCAGCTTCCAGAAGCAGCTGGAGCGCCCTCATCCATGGAGTTTGGGGGAGCTGGTTGTGTGCCATGGCTACAATACCCCCTCCATGACCCTCCCCCCGTAGCTCTTTTCCCCTCTCCGAGGCTAAGACTCAGCATTCCTCCGAAGCTGTGCCACCATCGCTGCATGCTTTAAATACGCAGAGAGGCCCCTTCGTCTTGGAGTAAAGGTCCCTCGGTTCCTCTCACCCTCCCAGCTTCCCAAAACTCATCCTTCAACATCTGGCTGGGTTTTGCAAGGGGTCCCAGGAATGCTAGTTGTGTTGAGGGAGGGATGGTTTGTGTATTTCTGAGCGTCTATCATTTGGTAACTAGCTAGCTGTGTGAACGAATCACTGTGAGACTGCAGATTCCCAGTGTTTGATTCCAAACAACATCCAATGTCACATGCCCTGAGCATCTACCATAAATTCCAGAAAGGGGGTGGTGGTACCTTTTTTCCGATTCTGTGCGGTGATGAGGGATTTAGTGATAGCCCTCTATACTGGCAGTTTTCTCCTTCCCCAAAACCTTGCTGGACATAATGGGTCCTGCCCTTTGCCTTCATAACTCTTTATGTGACAATGATAGAATCTTTGAATCAAGATATCAACCTGTTAATCAATGGTAGAATCTTAAAATCGAGTGACATTCTAAGGAAGTAATTTATCAACATAGTTGATTTTCTGAGTGATTCATGAAGCAAATGACAATTTTTTTTCAAGTTCCGTGCGATCTTCCAAATTTTCAACTTCCAGAAGATAGGTTGATTATTCATAACTACATTTATAACTGGAAAGCTCTTTTGCCTAGGAAAAAGAATTAACTTCTATAATCTCGAGCCTTTGGAATAATAGTACAAATAAACAGGATTATCTTGCAAATGTATTTTTACTACCATGACAACAGTAGTTGATCCTTGGTTGTGTGGGAGGAAAATTCACATTGTTTTTTAAAACTCGTTAGTCGCAAATCCTATGGGGTTGATTTCTAACCCAGATTTTAATTAGTTAAGACCAGAGCTGCTGAAGGTAGATACAGTCTGCTTATAGGCACAGAATTTCTTCAGGTGTCATTGGGGTAGTATCTCCATTTTACAGGACACATATACTCTTTTAGTCCAAAGATACTTTGCTCAGATCAAGTAGTTAGCTCCTAAGAAACTGGTAGAAAGGAGCATCCATGCCCTTGGAAGCAGCAGTCCTTTCATGGATTTTGCATTCCCCTGCACAAGTCACAGAAGCCCTGGCTAGCAAAGCAAGGAGCTGTTATTGTTCCTGAGCCTCGGCTTCGCTCATCAAGGTACACCGTGTGTGGGGTGTCGTGAGCAGCATGCAGATTGTTCTTGGTTCACAGGAAGGGTGGTCTGAGGGAATGTCCGATGGTATGACCCAGTGTCCGGTACAAAGAGCCTCAGTACGATGCAGTTTTATAGCACAGCCAATGCATAGTTGATCTATTAGGAAATACCTTGAGATGAATTAGCTGTTAGGTCTGCTTGGTCAGGAACTCATCAGTCATTCCCAGGGAGTTCTCAGAATAACTGTCTTTTGTTGAGAAGTCCCCTCTCCCAGGCATCATGACTAGATTCAATCCCTATAATAAGACCACCTAGGCACAACTATCCCATCTTCAGACTGGTGAACTGAAGCTAAGAAAACATGCCAGAGTAACCTTTCAAGACCTATTGCTGATGAGGCTGTGGTTTGAAGCCAAGAGCAGGAAAGGTTGTGGTTCTTTTGTCCATTCACCAAAGAAATCCTGAGTTGTATTTTGCCAGGTTCTGTGTGGAAAATCCAACAACAACCTGAAATGGTCATTGTTAAAACTTTTGCTATCCTGCTTGCCTTCTCTGTGCATTTACCATTTCTCTTGAATTCGTTTCTCTATTTTTATGGGCCTTGGAAGACTCTCCCTCATGCTGTACTATTGGACCACAATGTACTTTAAAGCCCACCCCCCAGTTATCTTTAAAAGGAATTTAAAAAATCTGAATGCCATTGATGACATTGTGGAAATGGCAGTCAACCAGGAGAGTAATTTTCTGTTCCAGCTGGTGGTCCAGCCAGCCCTGGGGTGTGGGGCTGCCAGTCCTGTAGTTTCATCCCTCCTGGGGTAGTGACTCCAGATGTTCTTGTTGTGTAAAGTGCCGGATGTGGTCCCTTCAGCGATGAGCTGCACACATCACAAGTGCACTGGCAGCTTTTCCACTTTCTAAGAAAGGATGAATGTTTTCTAGGGAAAAGCAGAATTGCTCTTGTATTTTTGTTTAACTACAATGCTTGATGAGTAATTCCGTGTTCTTGAGTCTAAAGAGTGAGCCCAAGGAAGAAAGGATTTTCTGATATCTCTCCACATTCTCCTTTAGAGCTATTTCTCTCGAGATGAACGAGTGTGGGAGTATCAATGTGAGGAGCTGGTCATGGCTTTGATTCTTAAGATTTGCACACACAAAACTGTTTAGTACTACGAGTATTTGCTGAGTGTGGTTTCAAATGCTGGCATTATGCTTCTTTTTCCAAAGAAAATTTATTCCTGTGGTGTAATTCATCCTGTTAATATTGAATTTTGTGCTAATAATGTTTTGGACCACCCTCAAAGAGCTTCCATGTTTACTTGTGGTTGGTCTTGTTTTTGTATTTTTAATACCATGGTAAGTGGAGCAGATTAAGAGTCCCCACCATTTGATATAGTGAAAGACGACCTCATGCAAAGTTTGTGACATTTCTACGGTAAATAATATTTTACTAATGCTTTGGGAAGAGAGGACCAAAGAATCTGAGCAAATGGAGCCTTCCTGAATTAAATCAGCAAATACAACATGTAACAGGAATCCTAGGATGGGGGGGGGGGGGCAGTGATGATCTAGGAAAAAAACACCATTGAAAATTATTCCCCTGATCCACAGAAAGACCTGAGATTACAGACAGAATGAATTTTGGACTTACACACGACAAGACCCAACCATAAAGACAGAATTTTTCAAGTCTGAAGGGAAAAAAAAAGAGAGAGAGAGAGAGAACATGTTACAAATTCCTTAAACAAAAAAATCTAATTAACAATAAAGCAAGAAGAGTGGAACTGAAGCCAATTGTGATGGGCTTGAGTCTGACTGAGTGCAAAACCCAAAGCAAGCATGATCAAAGAGCGGAGGAGAGCATCACCTGGGCAGGTGAGGAGAGTGTGGGGGTCCTTTCCAAGGCAATGCCTCACAGAAAGGAAGTGAGGGGATTGTATTTGGGGAAATACATATTCATGTGGGCAAGCACTTCAGGAGCAGGCCCATTCCTGGGCATGCTTGGTAAAAGTTGTACACTCCTGAATGTACTCAGTTAAAGGATGTAGTACAAGAGTGATGGGGAACACAGTTGCTTAGCTTAAGGTCATGAAGCACATGTTAAAAAGTTTATGTTATGTTTTAAAAAGTTGGACATACAGGAAACCTTTACAGCATACTCAGCTTGCACTATGAAGATGCTGAATGCTTCCTGACATCCTTCCAGAGGTTGGTTTGTTTTAAGATTTCTCTCTCTCTCTCTCTCTCTCTCTCTCTCTCTCTCTCTCTCATAGGGAGGTGTTGGATCCTTTGAAACTGAAGTTACATGCGTTTGTGAGTTGCCTGATGGGGAGGTTTGGGATCTAAACTCTTTCTCTGATGCAAAAGTAACTGTTCTTGCCTGCTGAGCCCTCGCTCCAGCTACCAAATTTTTAACTGAATGGCTAGTTCCCTCATAAAAATTCCTGCCTCACTTAGCAGCTAACAATATTGGCACTGGAATATATATCCTTAAAGGCAAAAAGAACATGAAGTTAATCACACAGTCTCCCCTTTAATGTGCTGTACCAGTACAATGCAGACGAGGTAACTTACAATAAAGAGAAATTAACTGGCTCGCAGGTGTGAAACTGAGAGGCTGCCTATCATAGCATTTGGTGTGAGCCTTCTTGCTGCGCATCCCATGAAGGAAGGGAAAAAAGAGGGCAAGAGGGAGGCAAGACAGGCCTGACTAGGTTCGTACACTTAATATGGAATCAAATTCTTCCATATTAATCTCCCCACAGTAGTGTATCCATGACCCCTCACCTCCTAAGGGTCCCAACTCCCAGTATCTCTAGATAGCATATCATAGAAAGTAATATTTGTCAGCAATTGGGTAAAAGGAATTGCAAGACTAATTACTGAAAGCAGGAAGGCTGAAGTAAACCTGTTTCCGGCCAGGCTTCCTGTGAGAGGATAACTCATAGAACTTGGACGTAAATGTACTGGGTAGTTCTGTGTCAACCTGACACAAGCTAAAGTCACCTGAGAGGAGGGAACCTCAGCTAAGAAAATACCTCCATAAGATCAGGTTGTAGGGAAGGCTGTAGGGCATTTTTTTGTGATTGGTGATTGATGGAGGGACCAATCGTTGTGGGTGGTGTCATCCCTAGGCTGATGGTCCTGTGTTCTATAACATGCCATGGGGAGCAAGCCAGTAAGCAGCACCCTCTGTTGCCTCTGCGTCAGCTCCTGCCTCCAGGTTCCTGCCCTGTTTGAGTTCCTGTCCTGACATCCTTTAGCAATGAACAGTGGCATGGAAGTGTAAGCCAAATAAATACTTTCCTCCCCCACTTGCTTTTTGATCATGGTGTTTCATCGCAGCAATAGAAACCCTAACAAGGACAGAAGAGAAATCCATACCAAGCCCACCTGTCAACATGAGTCCAAAAGATAAAGAATAGATTTGGAGAAGGACGATAATGCTAGAGTTTGCAGAGAAGAAAGGAGAGAGCTGAGAGAGAGTTTCTGCATGAAGGATGCCTATGGAAGGTGTCCCTGCTATATGGATAGATCATTGGAATTGCAATATAGACAATTCCCAGAGCAATAAAGGACCAGGAATTA